CACCTAGATTCCTGAGCACTGTAGAAGAGAGAATTTTAAAAAAGCAAGATCTGCTGACCACGAAAGCCATCCTTGCACAAGCAGGTGAATGAGCCGAGGCTATTCACGCACACTGCCCCATTCTTGCACGGTGACTGAGCGCATTCGTCCACATCGTCCGAGCATAATTTACCTTCGTATCCATTAGGACAGGTACATTCGAAGGAATCCTGCAACTCCACACATTCATCATGTCTGAAGCTACGAATAAATATGGATGTTTTGTTTTACGTACCCAGGCGTACGCATCTGCATTCTGAAACAAGCGGTTTGCCGCGACAAAAAAGGCAACATCGTAATTCACGTTATATCTATAATTAATATGTTTTTATCACTAAAAATTATAAATGCCTTGCTCTCTCATGCTAGTGGCATAGTCGAAAATTTTTCAAAAGCAGTTCAAGCTGAAAAATACATGCCCAAACTACTCAAAAAAAAAAATTAAATGAACAAAATAAGTTATCAATACATTTCATACGATGATGCACAAAGAAATTTAAAAACAAAAGTAAAATAATGTGATAAAAACAAAAAATTTACAAGTGAACGCAAAACTATTCCAAATGGGGGATAAACAAAACGAGTCCCACCAAATCAGTGTTCGGTTCTTCGCCAAAGCACACAAAATTTTGAAAAGAAACAGAAATATAGCAGCGACCTTAAAGGCAGTACATGTGCCATCGTGCTGGCATGGATTTGGAACACACGGATCAGGCGCACAGTACGACGTACCACTGTTCATTACAACACATCTGAAATTTGCCCGGCCATTTATAAGAAACTGCGTTATACCTACTGTATAAAAAAGCGAGATGCTCCGAGAAACACACGCTACGAATGTACGAAGTCTTTGCTCCTTTTTTTCAAAATTTTTTTTCAATAACGCATAGATACTTAGAGTTTCGACATTAAAAAACATTTATTTCGGGGGATACTGTACCTTTCGCCTGATGAACAACCTTGAACTTGACAATCAATTGAGCCGATTTCACACAGTTCACCCGAAAATCCTGCAACAGCCATACGATGTCACCTCTTTTTTTGTCTCAGCGGCTCAGTGCTCACAAACAA